CACAACAAGACCCGAAAATTGTTTCACGTGCACAGCGCAACGATGCGCCGCGGTATGAAGCAGTTTCTTTCTTACTGTCGCTTGTTGTTTACAAATGGAAGACGCGGTCCAGCCATGATGGCTCTTGATTGAACCTGGCGTTCTTATATAAAATTTTCTCGTGGCTGCTTTCATCAATAAAACATCTTCTTGCCTGAATTCAGTTGTAACCTTACAAGTACTAAAAATATTTATTTCACTTTATAATTCCCGATGGGGTCATTGGATTTTTCAATTGACCTAATCCTTCCAGCCGCACTATGGCCCTGGGGTCGACTCGGCCTCTTAACAGAAATGAGTACCAGGAATCTTCCAGAGAGTAAATGGCAACCGGCGCGTAATGCTGACCTCACCGCCATCTGTGAACCAACTGTCTAGAAAACGTGGGAGCCTCGACGTCTCACAACCCTCTGTGCCTCCACGGCCTGTTACAGGGATAGCTTTACTTTTATTTAATGTAAATTGTCCTCTTTGTAGACCTGCCCCTTGGGTTTGAGGCGAGTAGCGTGGCACTGGTTGGGGTAACATTGAGGGAGAGAGGGACGGTGATGGACTGCAGTTAAATCCGTTTCAATCCTCAAACATCTTAGAAAACTTACCTCAGTTAACGGACTCGACCAAATCCTCTATGGATTATACTCAGTACAGCGAGATGTGGTCTTCTAGTTTATTACCGCGTAATCTGGTTACCACCGTTTCGGAGGGATCTGCTTCCTCCGACTTCAGAGTAAAACTGAAGACTGTGTCACCTTCATCCGAAACATTGGTATCCACCTACTAGAATACACGGTAACTATATTTTAACGACGCTGATAGCAGTCAGATTGCATGGCCATGAACTGAAAAGGATGTTACCGGAAGCTGTCAGGACAAGTTTGTTGTATTGTCCCTGTATCTGTCCGGAAGAACTAAGGAAAATTGCAACACCCTCTGTAAAAGTCTGTTTCTCGATTGAGATTCGAACCGTGCACATCCCTAAGAGAAGCGTTACCGCTTGAGCTAACCTGCCCGACGCAGTAACCCACAGGACACGAACCCTGTTTGCTATGAAAACAAGTTCAATTAAGAGGTTGGACTTAATTTCCGAATGGACGCGGCTTCCTCTATGAAAGTTTATCGCTTCTGTTCTCCGTGAAATCTTCATGTCTCATACCTCAAACCTGAAATGAATCTTAGTTATCTTCAACAGTGAGTTACCACAGAAATGTACGTAACAAAAGAGTGTTTTCGTTTCATTTTGAACATGTCTATGGGCCTGCAGAAAATGTCGAAAAAGTATGAGATATCCGGCTATCCAGGCTTTGACAGAGATACGGTAAGGAAGTCACTCTAGGAGGAAAAGATTGTGTGGACTGTGATCAGGTGGCTCTGGCTGTACAGAGGGTAGCCAAGCTGTTGTGGATACGGTCACATGATACCGTGAAGGACAAGTGACTTTTCAATCAGCTGAGAGAGTATCAGCATTTTACGCAAGGCGGGGTTCATTCCTAAAGTTTATTCGCGATACACTGGGCCGGATTTAAGCGGGAAAGACTGGGGGCATCTACAAAACAGAAATATAATCTACAGATCGTACTGAGACCTAAGGTTATCTGAAATCACACAAAATTAAGTTCATACTTTTACCTCTTATAAGAAAAAAATAATTTTAACCTAAATTTGTTACTGATAGGCCCCCCTCAACTGCAAATCCGGTCTTGGGGATAAAGTTGAGGGGGGCCTGTTGCTGTGCTTAATTAATGACATAAAGATGTGTGAGGGTGTGGATGTACAGCTCCAGATCCAAGCATTCTTAACCTCAGTACTTGATAGAGGTCAGCTTCACGGCCCGGGGAAAGAGCCCCCGTATCCACTGAATAGGAGCCTGGGTGGGCCCTAGACCCGGTCTGGGTGCTGAGGAGAGAAAAATTTCCTAGCACCTGCTTGAAAGTGAGTGTCAGTTCTCAGGTCGTCGATCCCGTAGCCAGTCGCTATACCGACTGAGGTATCCCGAACTACACCTCAGCGTGCCGCCGCCGCCGCAAAGTGGAAAGGTCGGGCAACAGCGTTAGAGTTCCAAGGGCGTAGTACGTGTGATTTGGTGATAGCCCTAAAATACAATCCAGTCCAAATATTGAAACACTTTATTAAGTCAGAAATATTAATATAATCTGCCAGTGAAATGTACGTACAATTTATAGTATCTTATAATAATCTATGCATCAGGAGTGGCTGGAACAAACCATGATGTGGGAAGCTGAGCATCACAGAGCGCTTTTATACAAAATTAAATCTATCCTACACAGTGAAGAGTTCTGCTTTCTGGGATGTGACGCCGTGTAGTCTTGTTAAAATCAACCGACGTTTCGGGGGAACACCGCTACCATCTTCAGAGATGAACAGTAAACCAAACAGAAAACCAGGATGAGACAGGCAGCACGCGGTAGTTGCCCTAGTTTCTCTTATACACTGAAAATGGAGGCGACATTTTTTCTGAAACGTCGGTTGACTTCCATTAGACTACACGCAGTTATATCCCAGAAGACAGAACGCTTATCGCTGAGAGAATTTCAGATCCAAGTATCTTACAAACTGTTTGGGCAGTTCACCGAAAGTTTAACTCTACAAGCCACTAGAAACATTTCGTGCAATCAGTCACGTTAAACAGCCTTTCCTTGACAACGCAAAAGTAACATCACTTCACTTCACTTGAAGTAAGTAAAATAACTGAGAGTTGAGGTTCTGAATGCAGTGAACATTAAGATTACTATTTTCTGGGACATGACTCCCTGCAGTCTGGTAAAAAAAAATACCACCGTTTTGGATAAAACTGATACCTCCAATCTTCGAGGTATATCAAGACGCGGTCAGCACATACCTCCGAAACGTCACAGGAGCCTTCTATCTTGAAGATTAAGGTACCATGTATCTCTGAATATCTGGTATATATCTACAATACTTCATGGCGTCACATTCAAAAGGTGGCTAATCTTCATGGTCACCAATGACAGAACCTCAGATTTCACACAATTAAGATGTATTTTCATGTAAAGATGTACCATGAAAGGTCGCTGTGAATAATAGATTCTATGTATTGACTGATTACGTACTACATAATTTAACGTAATTAGATCTTAACAGCGCTATATATCCTTAGTTACTTTATATATGAATATTTGTTAGGCCTCAAACCTGACTGCACCTATAATTACATTTTAAAGCAACTAGTTTTACAAAAATGTAACATTAATCGGTACACACACAAAACTGAAATCAAATATAAACCATTCATACAATATTTAGTCTAATAAACTGCAGACTTATAATATGTACTACATATTTGAAAGACATTGGTAGTCAACGATCCGTGATTACTGTGTACATAATATTTCGCTTGGTCCGACGAGCATTTAATTTAATAAACTTATATCCCCTGAATTCTTTACTAAGAGTTTATGTGATTTCGTGTTGGTTTGCAGAATATAAGAAAACATACGATAATAGTATAAGCCAGGTTGAATTATGCAAACGAATCTTTAATAACTCATTCTCTAAATTTATTGTGACGTACAGACCCATTGCTAGGCAACGATTCGGTAAACACATTCCCGTGGGAGCCAACGCGCGCAATAGGACGTCTACTGCTAGGCAACGGCGTTGTAAACACGCCTCATCAACAATAGAGGCTCTGTCTTCTGCGTGGTCCGTACCGAGGAGTTATCTTAAAGACAAGTGGCGTTACAGTGCAGTTGAGGGTTCAGTTATGCAGCGGGAAACGGAAGCTGAATAATCTCGATTGCTAAGATTCGTTGCCAGGAAACGTCTAGAGAAAACACTTAAGAGGAACAGTCAGTGCGTTAAAGCGGTTAGTGACTAGTGAAAGTCGACTGACAAGACTTATCAACCCCAGGACATTGGGGGCAAACTACAGAATTTTCTGAGACATGGGTCAGTACTGTCATGTGTTTGGAATCCGCCCCATTTTATAATATTAATGGTGCAGTTAGTCGGAGACTACTCGTAACACGCTTGTTTTATTTATAAAACAAAGAAGAAAGAACGGCCATAGATTTTGAAGATTTTGGATTTGAATCGGAGAAAGTTTATTATAGAATGGTGCAATTGAGCAGACCTCGTGATAATGTCAGCAAATTACGAAAAATTTGATGATGTTGGACCTTCCTACAACACCCAAAAAGGAAGAGGCAACTATCAAAGAAGAGGGCAGCCAACACAGCGGGACTTGCCTTTTAGAAGTAGTAGTTCACGAAGAGGACAACAGAGACCAGTAATACCGCAAAGAGTCCAGAAAAATTAACTTCCACCACCCATCTCACCAAAACCAGATGTATCACAATATCAGAACCTCAAACCTAAGAATTTGTCAACAGTTGAATCTTCATTGAAGAAGGACCCGATGTGGCAATATTTCGACGACGATGGGTTTTTGGGGTTAACCCCATATTTTTGTAGAGATGAATTTGCTGTAACTGAAGGCTTTGTTGCTATATCCGAAAGAGAATATGATTTATCTGCAGATAGAAATTTTGGCAAGTACATTTCTAAGGAATGTTTGTATGGTACTTGACCATGCATTTATATGCAAGATTACTAGCAGTGAGAAATCATGAAGAAACCGGAAGAGTTACTTCCATGGCAACGCAGTAACAGTGGGCCGTTGCCTGGGAATGTCCTGAGCTACAAACGCGCTCTCCCAGATGAATGGACAATGGGTTCGTTACGATAACAGCGGATTCCTGAAGCCGCAGAAACGAAGCATTTCCTTGGTAACCGGTACAGAACACGTGAAATAGAGCTGTGGAAAAGGGGGGTCTGGCATCCGGTCCCCATAAGGCCTAAATTAGGTGGCTGAACATTCCACACTTGGCCCGTGTGGAAGCGGGCTCGAATACCTCCACCGTGACCCTGCGAGTCGTAGGAGGCGACGAAAAGGGAAGCCTCAAATCTAAGACAGTAAAATATGGTCACAAGTCCCAAGGGATTATTCGGACCCGAGAAAGACTGTGCTGGCAAGGACCAGCAGCATATACAAAAGAAAGATCCGTCCTCCCGTATGTGAGGGCGCCCACAAAAAACAAGACCGTGTCAAAGAATAATAAAGATCTGGTCGCAACTCTACTGACTGAATGACTGTCAGTCGCAATGTGACTTTGACAGATATGCCAAATAGACTTGGAAGACAGCCACCGCAGAATGCAGTTGAAGATTGAAGATTGTGATACTGGCGACGTTATAAGGGGATGATAATTGTAAGTGAACGTTCAATAAATACACCGTCTACACAACAATCAGTATTCAAAACAGAGAGACACTACTGCATCAACATCTGCTTTTATTATGTTTATTAGAGACGCAATATGTTTCGACCCTTTCACGGGTCATCATCAGGCGTACAAAGCACCAGTCTGAGCTGTTAAGTAGGAATCAACTGTCATTTTATTCATCGAATAAGGATCCTCGTCCTGAAATTGTGTTGACGGTATGTTCTATACTTTATCTTATTTATGACACACAACATTAAGAGCGTTCAATAAATATTCGCCAAATCCGAGACCGACGTTAAGTTATTTCTCGCGCTGCATAGGCAACACGTGAAAATATATGTGGTACCAAAACACGTATATAAGCCACATTAAGAGATAAACAACAAAGGAAGAGCAAAACACTGATACCCAACTTGCAGGCACTGCACTCCTCGCCTTAAGAGTGTAAGCAACAGCGAACCATGGACACCTAGCGCCAATGGCCGTTCGGCAAACTAAACTCGTGCCGTACCACGAATAGCACTGAATGCCCGATTTCAGAGTTACGACCTAATAATATACAGAACTTTCTGTTTCTAATGTACAGAACGTAACGGCTTCGAAGCGTGACGGTGTACACCCATGAGATCATTGAAACGCAAATTAAAGCACTATCTATCACTAATTAACTACAAATTAATAACACATCTTAGGACAACATGAACAATATCAAATAAGTAAAAAAAAAAAAGTCCCTTTAACTAGCAGTGGAGGCCCAAATGGTTTTGAGACGTCGAGGCTCCCACATTTTCTAGGCAATCGTTTCACAGATTACGATGCGACTGTCAGCTTTACGCACCGACCGTCCGAAACATGTAGTGTTAAATAATTAATACGAAAAAATATGAGCTTTCAAAGTGTGAATTTTAATATATGAACGAAGCTGCAACGACACAGTGAGTGCTAAAGTGGAATACGCAGCGTAATAGGCTGCTGCAGTACAGTAATACAACATCAAACGGAATCGGGTTTGAGGCTCACTATGAACAGTATGCTCTTCATTGTTGTAATGCCGTGTACGCTGGAGAGTCCGACGTTTCGGAGAATGCTGCGGCCATCTTCAGGGTCTAAAAGTATGCCAAGTCAGCAGAAGCAGGTAACAACCCGATCGAACAGCACATGCGACGTCCAGTCTGGTAAAGGCCACTCCAAAGTCAATGGAAGAGTGTCCTTCCAGAAAGTGGGGATCCTGCCACTGCCTCCTTCCAGGCTTGGACTGGCCTGTCAGGCCGGATGTTCCACGCGCGGATCAATCGGCTTGCTTCCGCCTCCTGCTGGTTTCTTTACTACTCGACCTTGAAGATGGAGGCGTTACGTTCCTCCGAAACGTCGTGGTATCCGAACTACACGGTTTACAACCTGTAAGGAAAATTAAAGCAATACCCGAAAGAACAGAACACTACATTTTATGGACAGATAATAGAAACAATTCGCCTCATAACGTCTCGAACTCCACCGTGACTGCAAGAAAATTGTATGAGTCTTGTAATGACACCAGACACGTCGAAGACTCAGTGAGCCAGTTCATGGCGTTCGGGCGTGAGCTCATTTTTCTGACAGTCCGTCGTTATTTACGTTTCGGGAAAGCTGATAGTGTCACAGATATTATCACTGGTCTCTTGGCAAACGGTAGCTTAGCTTAAGGTTCTCATCAAATCCTAAAGCGGAGTTTATGAAGATACGTAAACAATTTGGCATTTTCTTTTCTTTATAAAATATCACTTACAAATGTTTAAATTGTGGACCATACTTGACTCGCAGGCTACAGGTTTTTTCCTCCAAAGCCTTGTCCAGTGTATAACACCTATTTAACAACTATACATAACATAAAGCACTTGTGTCCTGCCTATTTTTCATTTTATAAAAATTATACAAAAGGAAAACACTACCAAACTCAAAATATATTTTCAAATAAAAAAAAATCACATTAGAGGATCTCACGTCATATTACAAATTTTGAGACGTGACGCCGTGTATTCAGGGACTCTCATCCCAAAGTTTTGAGACGTGACGCCGTGTATTCAGGGACTCTCATCCCAAAGTTTAACATTCTTCAAACGTAGAGCTGCTCCGAGCTTTGAAAACGTATATGGGGGAGCGCAAATAAAGTTCCATGCATTCTTAACCTAGGCACTAGATTGGGATGTGTGCTCAACTTTACGACCACGCCGCTTTAAACCCGGGGTTCCCATTAGTAGTTACTAGGGCTTCTCTGGCCGCTGTGGAGAAGCGAAAAATCTCGTTCCTCTAAGGAGTAGGAGCATAAATTGCTCTATTTTGTAATTTCGATAAATATAAGTTATAGAAAATTTGAAGAACAAAATTCATACAACAGGTCTAATTATGGACCTTGGTGGTAGGCTATATATATAAGTATGCTTGTGTTTGATAAAACGTGACAGTTCGTTTCAGCGTAGAAAAGGCAGCCGGTTACCGTGATCATAGAGCCTTCTACTGTGAAACTGAACAAACATCACTAAAACTAGCGGAAGTAATACATAAACTCGACAAATACATATTATTCTGCAATTGAAGGAAAGAAAATTTGAGTTACTAAATGTTTTATTCGGTGTTTAATGTCATGTACCTCAAAGAGGGCCCCACGTTTCGGAGTATCATAATTCCTCCATCGAAATTTAAACCCAGCCACAAGCCAACAGAGCTGAACTCAGCCTTCCGCCTGCTTCTCCTCTTAATTGCTTGGCTTCGACCCTGAAGATGGAGACTATAAGTTCCTTCGAAATCCTGGGCTATCTCCGAACTGACAGAGAGATCCTCAATTCCTACACTTGCGCTCATCCAGACCACATGTTAGTTCCATCGTCATGCGAGCTGCCAGTAAGTTCTGTAGTCGCCCATCTGGTGATCAACTCATGATGATCTGCACGCTCTCACCATTGTCTATCACCGGAGTCTACATATGGGGCTCCTGTCGGTACTGGTGTGATGACCCTACTGACTTAAACCTGAAACCCAATGAACCCGATTTCTCAGTCTGCTGCTGATCACCAGGGCCTCCACATGGGTTGCAGCTGCTGATTTTGCCGCACATCCGGTGATTTCCTTGCCGAATCTACACCCTTCTCTGGGACAGTCATCAGAAGTCCCGTGATGGGTCTAGCAAGATCCTCAGCACTCGGAGTCGAAGAGAGGACGGGCTGTGGTGATCGAAAAGGTGCGACAGGGCTGGATTCTGGCGATGCTGATGATAGTGATATCGGCGGAGAGTAGCACAGTCTGGATGATGATGGTACTTGGACGCTCAGTGGCCCCGGAGGACTGACGCTTCGATTTGCAGCGACGGACGGAGAGGGGGTCGAAGGTGGGGGAGAATAGCAGAGTTTGGCCGATGGCTGTTGGGATTGTAGACTAAGGGGCCCCGCAGAGACGCACTGCCCCAGGTGAGCCACGAGACGGCGCCCCACACGAGCGTCAAGCCCGGGGAGAGAGAGTAAGAATTGACAAGCCTCCGAAGCGCACTGACTGAAGCCAGCCTGAAACAAAAGAGATTTGATTAAGGCTTTAAATCCGCCAGCTCTAACAAACAAAACTTCTGCATTCTGTTCACAGAGTGTATTTGCGTGTTCCATAAGGCTCTCACGATAAACAGTGATTATTTCCCTAAACAGCATTAACCGGGTGGTGACGGTGACGTAATGTTTCCTGTGTGGTACGAACTGAATTCTTATATATTATTTTGAAGAAATGTATTCTTTAGGGACTGGCCTTCCAGGTTGGGGAAGTCTCGAATCTGAGATAGTAATATTACAAGAGTACCGCGGGACTCGAACGCAAAAATAACTGTGCTGACGAGGGCCAGCATCAATTGTAAATGACACAGACCAGTCCTCTTGTCAGAGAGAGAGCCCCTATGTACGAACCCGCAACGACGTGACAGTAACAAAAATCTGTTCTGAGGCCCCAGATGGAGCTTGATACCAAGACAGACTGGCCGACTGACCGTTTGTTGTAACATAACTTTGACTATTCTTTGAAGTGCTAAACGCTTCTGGCTCCTGGCCAATTTAACGATAACCGAAACGGCAGACAATACCTTAAATACTGTAGCAATTGGTCAATTTAATTAGAGCTGAACCGTGCCTGGAAGGAGAGGGAATGCCTGAACACTGCTCTCTATTAACCAATTCAACAACTAACGTTCTGCTATATTGCATTTTAGCGTTCTCTTGCACTGATTCATATTCATATTGCGTATATATAAACAGTCTTCAAAATGCAGCGACCATCGCACAATAAGCCTTATTGCACATACAGCAAAGATAATAGCAAAGATACTTAAAAGAACAATCGAAAAGGAAAATAGAGGATTTACTTGGAGAGAATCAGTTTGGATTTAGAAGAGGAAAATGAACCAGGGGTGCAATTGTGATGATGAGAATTATAGCAGAACGAACTTTGGAGATAGATGAAGAACTGCGTACTTGCTTTATAGACTGGCAGAAGGCATTTGACCGTGTAAACTGGACCAAATTAATGCAGATCCTAAAGGAAACAGGTATCGATTGGCGTGAAAGAAGATTGATTAGTAAATTCTACATGGATCAGAAAGTTAGCGTACGACTGGACAGAGGGGAGACAAGAAGTGTGCAGATTGGAAGAGGAGTTCGACAAGGATGCTGTTTATCACCAATTTTGTTCAGCTTGTACAGGGAATGCCTTACCAAGGAAGCTCTGGATAGACTTGGAGACTTCAAATTAGGAGGGAAAATTATTCAAACTGTGAAATATGCAGATGACCTTGTGTTAACGGCTAAGGAAGAAACTGTGCTACAGGGCATGATTGATAGACTAATTGAAATTGGAAGGTGCTCTGGCATGGAAATGAATGTGGAAAAAACAAAAGTAATGAAAATTTCGAGACAACCAACCGTCACAATAAAGATAGACCAAAAACAACTGGAGAATGTGAAATGTTTTAAATATTTGGGTAGCTTGTTAACAGATGATGGAAGGTGTACTTGTGAAATTAAATCCAGGATTGCCATGACAAAGGCTGCATGTAGCAAGAAGAAGAATCTTTTTACCAGCAAATTGGACTTAAATTTGAGAAAGAAACTAGCGAAAAGCTACATTTGGAGCATAGCTGTGTATGGGGCTGAAACATGGACACTTAGATCAGAAACATCTGGAAAGTTTCGAAATGTGGTGTTGGAGAAGGATGGAGAGAGATCAGTTGGACCGATTATGTGAGAAATGAAGAAGTATTGATTAGAGTCAATGAGCAGAGGAAGGCTAATTGGATTGGTCATATCTTACGCAGTAACTGCCTTATAAAAGAAGTTACTGAAGGAAAGACAGAGGGGCGGATATAAGTGACCAGAAGACAAGGAAGAAGACGTAAGAAGATGCTGGATGACCTTGGGGACAGAAGAGGATACTGTCATTTGAAGGAGAAAGCTCTAGATCGCATCAAGTGGAGGAACTGTTTTGGAAGAGACTGTGGACCTGTCGTCTTGACAGATTACTGATGAATGAACGAATATAAAGGCAAGCAGTGAAACGGTTGACGGATCGATGCACCTGAAGATGGCAGCATACTGCCGAAACATGTAGTGTATGGGATTGTATGCACTTGAAGACTGTTAACATATACACATTATGAATAACGTTCTGCTGTTACTCCGTAACCTGAAGATTCAACTGTGTGCATAGACAATATATATATATATATATGGCACGTGTTAGTGTAGTTGGTTGAGGCACTATGCTACAAGCCGGAAGGTCGCGGATTCGAGTCCGGATGAGGTAACTGGATTTTTCAATTGCCCTAACCCTTCCAGCCGCACTATGGCTCTGGGGTCGACTCATCCTCTAACAGAAATGAGTACCAGGAATCTTCGTGGAGGTAAAGGGCGGCTGGTGCGTAGGGCTGACCTCACCGCCATCTGTGAGCCGACTGTCTAGAAAATGTGGGACCCTTAACGTCTCACAACCCTACGGGCCTCCATGGCCTGTTACAGGGATAGCTTAACTTCAGTTGTATGAAGGCTCTGAAATGGAGAGCCATTACTCGTATGTATGCATAATTAGTGTGTCTACCGCCTAATAACTGTAAATCTCTCACCGTCGCCACATTTGCATATTGCATTATACAGGACCCTGAAGTAAATAACTTGGCGTTATAACAAAATTTTCATGAGCGCCATGTTTGCGGTGTTTATGACTGGAAATTAAAAAGTGCGCTGTTATGATGGGTACGCTCTTCAGGGTTGTAACGCTATGTCCACCAGCTTTTCGCAAGAATGTGTTTCGACTTTAAGCTCTTCCCGCAGATTCTTTATTTGGCTTATTCTTCAGCCACGAAGATGGGGGCGAAACGTCGGCGGAATTCTGTCCAACTACAAGTTATAACCCATAAAATCGTTCTTTTCCTAGCCATCAGTATAATGAATTGGTTGAAGCCTGTAACAGATCATGCATACCGTATTTCATGATAATTTCTTACGTGTTTCCAAAAGCTATCAGAGCGAAAACACAATCACACTATGATAACACAAACTGCCTTATCTCAGACACTAACAGAATGAGGCTAAAAGATATCACACACACAGTTTCTACAGATACACTTATATGCTGAGGAGCCGGGATGGCGAAGTTAGTGTAGCGACTGGTTGCGAGCTGGCCGACCGAAGGGTAGGAGTTCGACTCCTGATAGAGTAAAGAATTTTCTCTTCTCCACGTCGTCCAGACCGACTCTGGCGTCCACCTAACTTCCTATCCATTGGGTAACGGGGGCTCTTTCCCGGGTGTAAAGCGGCTGAGGCGTGAAGCTGACCATTCACCTCCGGCTAGTGCAGAGGTCAAGAACACGTGAATCTCTACATCCACTCTCCATACGTCTTCATGGCGTAGTGTTTAATTAGTTAAGCACTGGGACAACTTTTTACGTTACACATTTAAACACCCGGTCTGTGGGGATGACCTCAACAAAATACATCCAACCTTCATACAGAGGTTCATCAAGAAGACAAATATATTGAAACTTGAAATTTAGGATGCCATTAAAGTTATACATGCATTTTGCCTTGAAATTTTGGCATGAAAGTGGTCATAAAACAAAGGAGAAAAAAAAAGAGACGCGGTAACCAAGACCTACTAACCTTCGTCCCCGCTGTGCTTCAGGCGGAGTTACGAGTATATTTCGATTGGCGCGGCAGGCCTACGAGGAAACAGAGGATATAAACTTGTACTGTCTCCCAATTAACATAAGCACACTTACAGATATTTCTCACACCGTCTCAAGATTCCTAACGGACCCAAACACGTGTTAACTTGTACCGTGACACTTTTACCTTTGGATATGAATTTTCAATCTTATTTTAATCACCTCAAGGCCAGATTGTTTTCATGTCTTAGAGACACTTAGAAGACTATAAAGTTGAGGTTCTCATGCCGGTGGTTATGAACATAGGCAATCTTGACTGTTTGCTGGATGCTTCAGTCTGGTTTATTACTTGGCTCATTTTAATTCTGAAGATGGAGGCGATATTATCCTCCGAAACGTCACTTGATTTTCAGTGGATTGCACGGCTATATATCCCATAAGTCTGAATTACTCTTATTATAAAGTCTGTTTCCAAAGACTTCTTACGGGAATCTAGAAGCGGGAAACTTGAATCCCTTTTAACTGAGGCAGAAATGAAATTTATGATGAGAAACAAACGTCCCCGTCACCATGACAACGGTTCCAGCCATCGCTGTTTTCTATTTTTCTCAAAACGCTTCCAACGGGTTCGTCTAGCCCTCAGGGATAGTTTACAGAATATTTGGGTAGGTTTTCTCAAGAGTACTACAGTTTCCCCTACCAATTCTCATTCCACCGACTGCTCCACGTTCATTAATCATTCCATCATCGACGTTAGTGTCCCGATACCGAGAAAAGAAACTCCGTGGCTTGAGTCCGCAAGAGAACTGTACCCACCGAGCAACCGCCGCTTGTCGGCGAAGTTCGTGCCAACTTTAGCGGATAGGGTGTGTCGCGTGATCAACGCAACGGATCCCCACGGCCGNTCATTTTTCTCAAAACGCTTCCAACGCGTTCTAGTCCTCAGGGATAATTTACAGAATATTTGGGCAGGTTTTCTGAGTACTAGTTTCCCCTACCAATTCTCATTCCACCGACTGCTACACGTTCATTAATCATTCCATCATCAACGTTAAGTGTCTCGATACTGAGAAAACAAACTCCGTGGCTTGAGTCCGCAAGAGAACTGTACCCACCGAGCAACCGCCGCTTGTCGGCGAAGTTAGTGTCAACTTTAGGGGATAGAGGGTGTCGCGTGGTCAGCGCAACGAATCCCCACGGCCGTTAATTTCGGTTTTCTAGACCGGAGCCGGTATTTCCTTGAAATGGCTCAATTATCCTCACGAGGCTGAGCGGACCCTGTTCCATACCCATTTCTTCTCACAAAATCTGGTTGCGCCGGGAATCGAACCCAGGACCTCTGGATCTGTAGCCACGAACTGACCAGAG